CATCGCCGGGGGGCCCCTGCCCGGGGGACATGACGAGCTCTGCAAGGGCACCCGCAACTACAAGCGTACCCTGCTCCTGCGGCACCACCTCTCCGCTGAGCATCGCCTCAACGAGCCCGTTAGCCCCGAGCAGGTAGGGTTGGGGCGGGTTGGGCTCGGGGGGAGGTGTTCCTGCGGGGTCCCAGGGAGACGACGGCCTCCCTTTTCGCTTAGGTGGCTGTTTTTGATGCCCATGTGTGTTAACTTACTTAAGTGGCTTCCTGCGTGTGTTTTCCCCGGCGGGCTCGGCACGCTGCGCTGCTGTCGAACGCTGTCCCCGGAGCGGGGGACGAGTCCGCTCTCGGTTTGGGGTGACACTCCCGCGGGGTTTGGGCGGTCACGGCTCTGTCAGCGTTGCCGTTGTGCGGCCCCGGAGCGCGAACTATTGTTTATGGCTGTGCGTGGTTAACATTCCGCGTTCGGAGGGAGCGAGTGCCGTGTTCTTTAGTTTACGTCGCGAAGATAAACCAGCAACGTGGGAAAAAAAGTTGCGTGCGAATAGCAGTGTCGCAGCACTGATTTAAAAACACTCGTTAGGACTTCCTCCTGCGGTACCGGGGAAGGAGGGGGTAGTGTCCGGCTACCGACTGCGTGTGAAACTGGTACTTGGCAGCGTTAAGTTAGAATTACTCTGCTCTTCTTAATGGTGCGATCCGCACGCACTGGTCAGATAACTCTGGGTAGCCAAGATGTTCTTTTTATGAGCAAGAAGTCTGCAATTGCTTGGTGTGTGTTTGAGATGAACATGTGGTTTCCTGAAAGCCATGTTAATATGCCAGTTCTCCTTAATGCTTTAGGACTAGTGAAGCTCTTCACGTACCCCGCTGAACTTAAAATTACTACGTTTCCTGGCTGCTGCTACGAATAAGGCAGGGTTAACTCCAGAACATATGCGGATGAAAAGCTCCTATAGAATACTTGAGCTGAATTGCCAGCATTCTGCAGCCTTTCCTCCTAAGGACGGCTGCACCGCAAAAGTTCCCTCGGATAGCCTAGCTGGCGTTAAACTTGTCAGCTGGCGCAAGCCGATGTGCTTCAGGTTAGGCTAGTACGTGAGCTGTCAGGCTGAACTGGAGTTGTTAGCTGGAATTAACCCTCGATCGGTCTGTTTTTCTCTGTTTAGAATACTCTGTTTTAATTAAAACACCCACCTTGGTTGTACTGCTGTATCTGGAGTCCAAATGTAATGCAGTAGTTAAATAGAGCTTACTGCTTAAGTGCTTTAAGGAGCTCGGGGTACCTTGGACAAGAGCTGCTATTCTAATGTTTGGGTAGGATATCAGGGTGGCAGATAAAATGTTAAGTAAACATATGCTTTCTTAGAGCCAGTTGGAAAAGATATGCAAGTTTTATGTGCAGGACTGCAAGGAAAACCTTACGGAGCATAAATATTAGTTACCAAAAACATTTTTGGATTTGCAAATAAAACACTCGTTCAAGATGAGTAATACTACCTTTTCAGTAAGTGTATCCCTAAGGCAGCTATTGTTACAGACATTTCATGGCAGTAGGTCATTTTATCAGTTTCCTCTAGTCTGGGGTTTGTCTTTTAGACAAAATTGCTTTAAATAACTTGTTTCTAATTTTGAAACTTTCATACTTAGTTTCTTTTACCTCTTAATATCTTTGAAAATAATGTTTTTATTTAATGATTTTGCAGTATATTCCTTACCATCTTGTTGCCTAGTTTCTAACTTTGAGTTGTGAAGGTATGTCCTGTCATAGCGTAGCCTTATGTGTTACTGGATGTGGCTACTTTATGTCACGCTTCAGAAGTTTCTCTCGCTCCCAGTAAGCTACAAATAAATAATAATTAAAAAAAAAAATTGAAACCTATTCCAAACAGTTTTTCTTACTGAACTCGGTAGTTTTTTCTTCCTGTGTTCCTATCCCTAGTCTGTTGTAAGACTGCTAAATGCTGGGAGGTCGGAAGGGGGACAAAGTATTATTGGCTTGTGTGCCACAGTAGCTTAAAAGTTCATGTAAGTATTTATTTGAAGATTAGCCTTTCGTTATTATGGGTATCTTCATAAAAAATGAGCCTCTGCTTTTATACCACTGAGAGTTTAAGAAAAAGTATTTGTAGTAACTGTAATAAATGAAACAGTAGGACAGGTGAGATGCATCAGTGGTTCTTTTGTGCTGTATTAAAGATAAGCTTCTGTGAGGTAGCTGTACAGAGATTGCTGTTTTCAAGTGGAGAACTGCTGGATGCATCCCTGTGCAATTACATTTCAGTTGAAAACTTCTCACAAGGGAAGGGATTGCAGTTTTTCAAGAGTCAGTGTAGTTTTCTTTGTGGTGCAGTTTGAGGTTATACTTGCTTAATCAAAAATCTGATCAAGAATCTCCGTTTCTTTTGGCTTTTATGTTTAGTTTCCATATCCTTTCACACTTCTAATAGTACTTGAATTTCTTGATATGTGTGTTTAAATTAATACCAAAACAATAGACCCATTTTTTCCTTAATGCCATGATACCAGATACCTGAAACAAAAGTAGGTAATTTGTACCCTGACCATATTTCCAACATACATAATGAGGCTGAAAAGCCGTTTAGATTTAATGAAAGTTGGGAGAGATCTTTCAGCCTTTGTGTTAGAGACAACACACATGTATTCTTGACTTGACAAGCTTCAACTGCAGGGCATGTTTAGCAGCTGCTAATAAACATATGGCATAATGCCACTGTTCAAGTGTGAAAAGGAAATTGTAGGTGTTAAGACAGTAAAGCAGTGGGAATTTCTATAGGTCTGTTGGATATTACACTCATGAAGAAATGAGTGATGATTCTGGTTTATTTTTGGGATACATTTAATTTGGAATGCCAAAATACATCACAAGTGGTTGCAGCTGCTATAATTCAAGGGTATTGAGCTGTCAGTTGGTGCCTCTTTTTAAGACAAAAATCTTTACTTATTTTTTCTATTCTAATTTTTAAAATTATCTGGCTCTATTTTAGAGCTTAGCGAAAGATACGATCTGCTTAGAACTACCTATGTTTTTTTAAATAAATAGACTGTTGTGTTGCAAAAATCTTAAGAAACAGACACCTGCTGGGAAATCACTGTAAAAAAAATTCTGTGATGAATTTAGATCTGCAAGATGCAGATTTATTGGCTGATATGGGTTCTTCCTCTCAAAGAAGCTTCTTAAAACGTTTTCTCTCTGGACATAATTTGAAGCTGAGCTTTGGAAATACTGCCAGAAAAGCTTTCTCCAGCCTACCAGGCATGTTGGTTTAAAGCAGAAGCTCTCCAAAAGGAGGAAGGCCTTTGATGTGTTATTTTTTCCATGTGAACTGTAATTGTTTGCTTTTTGTGAGCTGTGATGAATAGAAGTCGTGCTTCAGATGTAGGAATTACGCTGTACTGTTCTAAGTTAACTTCTTGAATTACTCTTAGCAGAGCAAAGAAGTTGAGGAGGAAGTCAGGCCTTCAGAGTAAGGACTGTCGTTTACTGTTTGTTTGATTTTTTTACGTAGTTTTTTTACCACACCTCCAACTACTCGATTGGATGTTAAGCACTTAATGGAACAGTTTGAAATCACTGAGTTTTCTGTGAGCAATGCTAAGGCATGTAAAACAGTAGCAGAGCATCATGTGTGCAGCTGATAGGACCATATTTTGAGATAATTTTCCTCTGTAGCAGCACGTGTTCCTGATAGCTCACTTTTGTTAGAGGATCCATTTTTCAGGCTAAGAATTAATTTAGGGGCATAGGGAACTGCTGTAGAGTAAGGTGTGGTAGCGGGGAAGGGATTACAAAAATGTGGCATAACTACTTTCCATTCCATCTGAGATGGAACCTATGGTTAGATTGGGTTTGCTTCTCTTTTTTTTTTCCTCTCTCGCCCCTCACTGTTCTTGCTCCCAGGGGACAGAGTTATGCTGATGACACAGGCAGAGAAAGAAAAGCAAGTTTCTAGTAGCGGAGTTTTGTCATCTGTTTCTGCTCCTGTTAGCTTTTAGGCAAGTTTAATTAGTGAATTATACATATGAAAGTAATTTATCTTTGAGTGTATTCAGATGAGTTTAACTTAATTGAAAATGAGGACAACATTAGTTTCCTTGAGTGGTCTCTGTTCTGTTAGATGGCTTCTTGATCTCACCTATAGAGGGAAGTTTTTCAGACTTAAAATGCTGTAGATGCCACAAACAAAACTGAAATAGTCCTGATCTTTAGCCTAGATTTCTTACTATTTTTTATTAAAGGATAAGGTAGTTTGGTGTTGAAATAGGAATATTGGGTGGTGATAGTATTCAGTCTGTATTCTGAAAGCACAGTCTAAGCAAATGAAAATACAGTCTAAGCAAATGTCATTGGTTTGTGATTTTCATGAGAAAAACAGTACCCTGATGATGATGCGCCATGAGCACAGCAAAAGTAACAGAAGCTTGAAAATGCACTTTTTTGATCTCCTGTAATTATTTTCTGCACCTTACCTCTTATTGAACTGTATTGTACTTGTTCTGCATAAAGGGGAGAGGCTTAAAGCTCTCCAGGGGACATTGTTTATTTCATTTTTCTCATGGTAGATGTCAATTCTACTTGTCACACTTGCTGTGCAGAGGCTTGATAACAGTTTCATTTCATTTGAGGTGTGGTGTTAGGATTAGCTACTTCCATACCAGTGGGCAAACATTTGTTTCCAGTATTACAGTTAGTTTTAAAAGTCTTTATGTATTCACTTCTGCGAAGCTGTAATACCTATCTCTTTCCACCAACACACCTCCCTCTAGATTGGACATTAGTTGCATAATGTCTCTTATTTTCACTCGGTCTTCTGGTTTTCTTGTAATGAAAACTTCAGTGTTGTGTTTCTGTAGCACTTCTGTGATTTGCAGCTCCTTTTTCCATGCTGGCTTGTTTTCTTGTTAGGAAAACAACATTGTAAAACTCAGTTTCTCTTTTTTGTCAGCTTGACTGGTTACATTCACATGCTCAGTTAAAATGTTATATATCATCTCAATTTTTGAATCAGACATTTGTAAAAAGAAAACGGCTGCAGATTATTTTTAAATTTTATGTGGTGTTTAACACGTTCTCAGAGAACGAAATTGTCAGCTATCATAGTACCTACCTAACATTAATTGTATGAAGTGCAAGTCACTGATGATTGACTTTGACTAGACTGACAACACTGTAGGGTATGATAATTGTATCTTAATCAGATCCAAAGTCAGTGTAATTGGTGTTTTGAAACTACGCACTACTCTGTTGCTGGAGTGACAGGAAGCCAGTCCAGATCGAAAATCTGTTGAGAACTTAGTGATAGACATAGCTGTCACACGTTTGAGGTGTACTCTCTGTTTCAGAGCTCCGATCTGACGGAGTACTTGAGTATGTCAGGAAGTACACAGAAAAAGATTAAGCGAAGGTTGGACAGAGATCTCTTGCCTTTTTTTCACATAAAAAACCTAATTGCTTTTATTTCTACCTCATCTTGTCACTGAAGTGCTTTTCTGAGTAGGGTAGAGATTTGGACACAAATTCAGTGTGATGGCAAAATCAAATTTCTCTGCAGGAGATGTTGAAATGGTACAGTTTCTGTTTTGGTTATGCTGGGTATTATTTGCTGCTGATAGATGTAAGTACCATTTTAGAAGATGTAGTTCCAGCTTCTGTTGTCATCCGAGGGATCCACACTGGCTTTATAACTTGAGGTGAGTATTAACTTAGTGCATGAATTCCTGTGTGATGAAAAGTGACTTTTTATTTTTTAGTGTAGCTGGTTTCTGCCGTAGTCCCAAATTAAGGGTAGTACTTCTCTGCAACATATGTTTTAGCTCCAGTGTAGGTCATGGGCTCATGACAGTGTTAACATTACCTTGTTAATGCTGCTTTCAACCTGTAATGTTGAGGCAGTTGAGTTTTAACGGTATCTTTAGCCCCCAAATCTGTGATTTCCTGTGTTTTAGGAAACGAGACGTGAAAATAGTGATGGATTCTGCAAAGTCTGATCGTCTCTCATCTGAAACCATATTTAAGCCAGCTAGTTTTGTCTTTATTTGCTAGGGAAGAAGAGAGAGTTTTGGAGATCCAGCATAAAACACTGTCATCATTGCTGCTCTTGATGGCAGCATGTGTCAGTCAATGTAAGCATGGTGTCAAACCTGCCAGTCTCTGTCTTCTGCTTTCTCCTAGCTGTTCCTTTGTAGCAGCTCTGAGTTCTCATTGTCTAAACATCAGTTAGAAGTTTTCTAAGTGCTCCAAAATCCAGTTCAGATCTCTTGTTACTTATCAGCCTCTCACTGTCTGAACTAATCTTTCATAAACTGGTAATTTCCTGGTGTTGGATTGTCTGATACTGCTTTTAGCAAAATCTTTAAACCACATTTGATATCGCATCTTAAAAAGGTTGTAGAGAGACAAGTAAGTACATACTGTCTGTGTAATAAGTGTGGTTAAAGGTGTTCCTACTAGGAAGTTTCATTGAAGCTTGATTCAAGAAAATCATAGTTAAATAATGTAAGGGAAACTTAAGTCTTGTTTGGTTACTGCAATATTCTGTCACTTGTCATGTAATATAACTGTTTAATCCTAACCGTGCCACAATTAGAAAATAAAGAATAAATACTTGATTTGTAGAACTGTATAAGAAATATATCTGCTACTATAACTGCTTCAGTGACATGTTTTATTTAAAACATACAAGCCAGATTGGGAGATACAGACCTAACCTTTATGCATTTGTCTTTCATCATGAGAAAAGGTTGAATCATTTGTCAGGGTTCTACTTACTTGTTTAAATGGAGATTTTATAGGGAAGAGCAGGGGATTGGATCTATGAGAAACATCTAGATAAAACTGTAGAAAGAGAGACTCCTGAATCTTTAATGTATGTGGGTTAAGAAAAACAAGTACTTTACATTCAACTAAATCTTCTTACTTTTGGCCGAAATGCCACTTCCTTTGCCCTCAAGGAATTCTGGTTCTGGTTTTGTGTCAAATTTGGGGGTGGAGGGTGCAGAATGAGATTGTGAAACTTAGTTTTCAGAAATGTGGGGGTTTTTTTTAATTATATATCCTGCCTGCCTTTGTGATCAAGAACATAAGTAACAAAAAATCATTTGAATAAAATTATCTTAAGTTTATTTTCATATCCATATTACAGTGTTGGAGGACTAAGGAGAGCATTCATTAAGAGGTAATTATGGCTGTGGTTTCTTTAATTGCAGGAGTCGGAGATGCCGGCAGGACTGAATAATGAAGGATACTGTGATTTTAACAGCAGGCCAAATGAGAACTCTTACTGCTATCAGCTCCTGCAAGAGCTCAACGAGCAGAGGAAGAAAGGCATTCTTTGTGATGTTAATATTGTGGTGAGTGGGAGGGTCTTCAGAGCTCACAAGAACATCCTGGTTGCAGGCAGCCGCTTCTTTAAGACTCTGTATTGCTTTACAAACAAAGAAAGCCGTAACCAAACCACTGTTACCTATTTAGACGTTGTTGCTGTTCAAGGTTTTTCTGTCATCTTGGACTTCTTATATTCTGGTAACCTCGTGCTTACGAGCCAAAATGCCATTGAAGTGATGTCGGTGGCCAGCTACCTTCAGATGACGGAGGTTGTCCAGTCCTGCCGCAACTTCATTAAAGATGCCTTAAACATAAGCATAAAATCAGAAGCTCCAGAGACCGTTGTAGTGGATTACAACAGAAGATCTGTTAGTAGGGATGGTTTGTCTCCAAGGGATCAGAAAGTTGCCAGCTTCTGGGCAACACGAAACCTTACCAACCTGGCAAGTAGCATAAAAACGGAGAATGATGGTTACTCAATTGATGAGGGCCAAATGGAAAGCTACCAAATGAATGACTGCAGTTGGGTCCAGGACAGCTCACCTGAAATGGCTGAGAATGAATCTCAAGGTGAGGGAAAAGTTTTTGTATGGAATGACATGGGTGCACAGGGACAATCGGTTCAAGAGCCTGGAAAAGCAAGAAGGAAAAACCAAACTGCAAAGAGATTTATTTATAATATACCACCTAATACTGAAGAGAACTCGGAAGATTGCTCAGTGTTGCAACCATCAGGCCCATATCCAGAAGAAGATTTGTCATTTATTAAAGAAGAAGCAGGTAAATATTGCTTAATATCAATTGTGTCATTTGAATAAAGTAGATGGCAGTGTAACTTTTATAAGGGTGTGTTGGATAGGATCTTGTAGTTAAGGCAGCACGCCGATCAAGTTACTAAAGCAGTAATCTGCTTTGAACCTGATTCTGTTCCTTAAGGCACAACAGTGTATCTTTGGCTAGAGAAAGAAATGGCACTCCTGTGCCATGCAGTATGTTACATGGTGTTTGCATGCTTGGGTTGGGGATCATTACCAGCAGTAGGAACTAGAATTCTTACGTTTACATTTAACCTGTAGCCGCTATTAGGCACAAAATTGAGGCGTGAGACCTGGTGGCTGAAGATGTTAGCTGGTTGCACAGAGAGAAAGGGTCTTTATAATTTCCTTCCTACGCTAGCGAAAGATTCTGTACATAGGGACTTCCAACTCCATCAAGTTGTGCTGGAAAATAGCTACATTGGACAGGATTGTGCAAGATTTATGGTTTTTTAAAAAATGTTCCACTGCTCAAAATGTGTACAGGTTTGACCAGGTGATCCTTGAGGTACGTTCTGACCTGGTATTCTGTGATTCTTCTGGTGATTTCCCTCATCTGAGCATCACACACAAACAGAAGTCAAGTTTTTATTGCTGTTTATTGTAGGGTATGTGGGAAACTACAAAGTGGAGCAGTCCTGGCTAGTGTAATAGAAACTTTTAAAGCAAACTTGTGAACCAGATTGGAAAGAGATGCCACAATGACATATAGTAGCATATCTGTTTGTTGAACTATTGTTTAGTCAAATCCAGAGAGTGAATTCATAGGATTCTTTCTTTTTCCTGTAAGGATCTATGGTTAAGATAAATGCTAGAATAAGATTAAATATTTGTTTTCTAAACAGATACAGTTAACAGAAAGAATTATAAGCAGGCTGTTCACAGTGTAATTGGGATTTGGGGCAATATAATTAAGTTCAGGTTTTTATTTTTTAGATTATTATTATACTGCATGAATAGTTGAAGTATGTATTTGAAGTGCTGCCATTTACCTGTTTCACTTTTAGATGAATTGACAGTTCTGAAAACTTACTGCAGTAGGAGTCATAGGTGGATTTGAGACATAGCTGGAACCAAGTTCTTTAGATGTCTGTTTGACAAGCTTTTTAAAACATATACCCCCTTCAAACATCAAGGCACTGTAGGTATCCTCTGCTTTCCAGGGTCAAGGGGTAGAATTGAGAGGGAAATAAAAACCAAAAAAATAAAGCACTCGCACCTGTGGGTATAGAGTATTTCTGGATATTTTTGTGTTCCAGTGGCAAAACAGATTTGAAAGCAACCCGAGTTCTGGGAGGGTTCAGGAACCTCTGATTTATTTTGGTGGAAGGAAGGGTGGCTGTAGTTTCTTCCTGTACCCCCAGAATTGCTCAAAAACAAGGGTGAAATAAATCCTTTCAGGAGTGGCAGGGATAAGCCATTTCTCTTGGGGCCCTGCAGTGCCTCTACCCGTGCTGGTGCAGTTGCCCATTCACGTTGCTGACACTGCCAAGGTGCAAGCAGGCAACAGCCTAAGAGGAGCAGCCGGGTGGAGGGCACGTGGCTATTCCACTCTCTGCAGTACCCTACAGTGTATATGCACGAGCACCACAGTGGCTTGTGACAACATAGAGCAATGCAGACAGGAGCTATGGATGCGAGCATCCGGCATGTGAGCAGAAGCCAGTACAAGATGCATCTGTATAGTTAGCAAGTAGTGTGTCACAACAGGGAGCAGCTCTGGAGAAGAGAAGCAGCTGTGCTGAGGAGCTAACATTCATTCTGCAGTTGCTTCAGGGGTTTGCTTATCTCTGGTCTTCATCTCTGAACTCAGTGGGTAGCTCTGTGTTAGCTTTGCAGTTCAGCTGGGGAGTGTGCACTTCTGGAGTGAGTTTCCTGATTTTCTCATACCGTCTAAGCTTTTTTAAGATTGCACAGTGTTTCTTCTGGCTGGAATAGAATAGAAGCTGCCTTTCAGAAACATGCTTATTGTGTGCCAGCTACTAATAGGCCTTGGATCCACAGCTAGGTTAGATCTAGCCTTAACTAAAGCACCTTTAGACATTGAGTCCACAGCACCCACACAGCAGATCCGCCTATGCTGTGCTATACTACTTGCTAATACAAGCTTAGTTGCAATGGCATGAAAAAGGGCAGCAGAAGGACTGGAGCAGGAGCTGAGGACCTGTACATTAACTGCACGAACATCAATTTCTGACACGATTTAGCATGTGTGGTTGTGGGGTAGATCTCAGCCTCTCTGTGTTGGAAATACCACAGATATTATGTCTACTAAATGATGTCCCCCGCAACAGAATTAAATGCTTGTTTGCATTCTGCATAATTTGAGTATGTGCTGTGGAGCTTTCTTGAAGAAATAATAGAGAATACAGAGTACAGTAATGGTTGAGCTTAATTTAACCATTTAATCCTTGTTCAGTTCTTTCTGACAGAAGCACCAAGGTTTCCAGTAGGTCGATGTGCTTAAACAGTTAAGTTACAAAATACATCCATGCAACATCGTGATGAAAAGAGCTGTACTAGAGGCCAGGGACACACTGAATTTGAGCTGTGGTGTCTGTCCAAAACCATTGAAAGTTCTGTGATTGCAGGGGGAGTTCATTTTATTGTGTCAACTAATGATCTCCTTGGTACTCTGGAGCACAACATAAGTGGTCCCAAGTAAAAAATTACATCTCCTGTCAGTGTTAGAGCTATTTTTGGAAGCTGTATCTAGTATTTTTTGTAAGACCTTTACTTTTATGAAGTTCTTATGTACATGCACGTTGTTTAAAACAAGAGGAGATACTGGAAGTTGGCCTTGGTATAGCTTAACTTTCACCCATAGTTTCTGCTCCAGCATTCAGTGTTCTTTCTCCTACATTCTGGCTAATTTTTTCTTTGCTCTGTGGGTAGATTCTACCCTTAAACACTCTGCTTTCAGTTGTTCCCTCTATGCCCAAGAAAAGGTGGAAGAGGGAGGAGTAGAGAACTGGAAGAATGACAAGAATGAGTTGTAGAGTAACCTGCAGGTTATATGGTAACTTTTTAGTTGTGGATTAAATTTCTTGTGGAGATGAAAAGCTACCAAATATAATAGGAACTGGGAGTTAAAAATGCGTGAGAAGATGTCTTCTGGAAGAGATAAAAGACAATGCTGTGAGAAGAAGAAGAAGAAGAAGAAAAAAAAGAAAAAAGCATAGCAAATTCTTAGGATGAAAACTAAAGAGTTCACTTTCTCTTTGGTTGATAAAAGGGAAAGAATGAGCTGCTTCTGTTGTGCTTTGTCATGGGCTGATGGGGATAACCAACACCGGCTGTGGTTATGAGATGTCTTGTTACATGCAAAGTGAGTTGCTGTGTCCTTGATTATGGTTTTGCGTTGTCTGGTGGTTTTGTGAGAAAAACCATAGATACGGCAGTAGGGAAGCCTATCTAAGAACACTCTTCTTGCTACAAAATTTTACCCCAGAAGTCCCTACCTTGAATTCTATAGTAGATGGACTTTCCAGTTGGGTACTGCTAGGTAAGTATTAGATAGTCAACAATAAAAGCTTTCTGAACTGTCTGCTACCCCTCTTGTCCCAGTAGAACATGTTTTACTGCTTCTTACCAAATGTGAGTTTTCCTACAGGTATCCATAATGAAATGTCAGTTACTCCTTCTTCTTACCCTGTTGCTACCAGTGAGTTTATATTTAACACCTTCTCCGTAAAAGTAGCACTTTAGTGAGCTTGAAAAAACTCCATGAAGTTGAGATGGATTTTAAATTGTATGTACTGGCTTACTTCAGTTATCTACTCTTACTGAAGCTTTCAAGCCTTTCTCCAGTTTTAGTTACGTAATTACAATAGCCATGTCTCTTCAAGCTGAATGTTATTATCTATCCTGCTATTTTCCCTTCCCTTGCAGTTGATAATCTGCTAAGAAATGTCTTTCTTGTTTAGAGCTGTGGTGCATCCTGCAATTAACCATTTACCATGGTGAAAACAACAGTGCAGTCAGTCAGCATCTCTTGATTTCCAGATCATAAAAACTCAGTGATTTTAATTCATCATATTCTTAATGTCCGTTCAGAGTTGGTTTTTTTATAAATTTTTATCACTTCTTGAATTTGTTCTTCATTTGGGTCTGGTTTTTGGAATGCAAGTGTCCTGTCCACAGGCTTTGAAACACAGTTGTGAAGCATTGCTTATGCTTTCCAGAACTGACAAAGGAGTATGTAATATCCCAACAGCTTTACAAAGCTACCACTGGATTACTTCTTACCATGATTTTCAGGCTAGATAATGCTGTATCATACATTGTGGTGGGGGTGAGGGAAAGGATAGCACGGCCAGGATGAAAATAGCTCTTCTGTGGAACAAGAGGATTCCTGAATGTTTTTTTAGGGGTTCTTAAGGATTTTAATTCAGCTTATTATAGAAGCAGCTACTTTTCAGAAGGATTCAAGCAGCAGCTAAACCTGCTTTCAAAAAATGTAGTTCTGGTCACAGTTTTGGTCATGACATGAGGGAGCAGCATAACATATCTAGGCAAGCAAGGTAAATGGGTTGGGGTAGGTTATATCTAGGCAAGCAAGGTAAATGGGTTGGGGTAGGTTATATCTAGGCAAGCAAGGTAAATGGGTTGGGGTAGGTTATATGGTATCTACAGACCTTTTGTACCTGACAAACCTCTTTTTGTCTCTGCGCAAGTGAAGTGCAGGCAATACATTGGCTTTGTCAATCTGAGGTGCTGATTTGATTTTTCTACTAACTCATAAATGAGATGATGATGATGACAGCAACTCCATGAAGAAAACCAGGGCCTGTGTATCTTCATGATTAATTTGGGGGCATAACTCCAGGCACAGAAGTTAGCTGTGCTATTTCTTCAGCTAGCTTCCCTTCTGCATCTTAAAGATGGAGCTCAGTAAGTCAAATCTAATTAATTTTTTATCATGTTGAGCAGTGAGATGTTTCAAATCCTTTTGGATTGTAGGTGATTTTCAGAGTAGTGTGGAGCTTTTTTTTTTTTTTTAATACTATTATGAAAATTAATCTATAACTTCCTTTAAAAGCTTTTTTCCCAGATAGTAATTACCCTAGGAAATAAAGTCTTGTATTTATCCACAGCCCCTTTATCTCCTGCATGCTTGTCTTCACATATCTATCCATTCCCATATGATACTTATGAAGCTAATGTCCACTAAAGAATGTTTTTAAAATACTCTTTATGCTTCACTGATATGGTACAGAAAACCAATGTTAGATATCTTACTTAACCTGTAGGTTTTCTGTGTTAGTAGGCCAATTCAGTTACACTACCATGACTCTTCTGAGAGTACTCCTAAGCTAGAGTGATGTTATCACGAAAGAGTTTATACAAGTATAAATTGATGAGTTCAGTTACTCTGGGGCTTACAAGTCTTAGTGTGTTTTGAGGGGTTGGTTTTTTTTCTTGTTTTAAATTTGAGGGAAGGAATAGGTCATCCTCGGTATTGGTAGCTGGGTAGAATAGGTTTTAAGTGGCATGTAACTTGACTAGACGACTTCAGCTTCTTTTTTTCAGGTTCTCTTTTGTTGCTGAGTTGTTTTGCTTGCTGCCCAACCATTTATTCTCTGTGCACATTCTGGAATTACTGTGTACAGAATTTGTAGTTATTTTTGGGGTGGAGGAGAGAGGTAGGCAGCATTTCTTACTTGTGCTTCTTTCTGACAGGTATCAGTAAATACATCCAACCAGAAATGTGCTCAGTGTAGAAAGTTATGTCAGATGTAGAATACTATAGCATAGCAAGCTTACACTGTGTGTTTACCCTAAAGCTCACTGTAGTACTTGCAGTACATGTATGCTGGTAGGAGTACAGCTATAGCAGCCAATTACACATTTGCTTGCTTGTGACTTGAGTTGATCCCTTTTCTTTAGGATGTAATGTTGCATGTTACTTTGTGATGAGAGCATGACACCAGTCTGACTAGCTTATTTTCTCAGGTATTCCCAGATCTTATTATGCAGAGTTCTCAAGGAAGTATCTGGGATTGTTTTTAGTTAGGCTGGTTGGTTGGTTTTTGGGTTGGTTGGCTTGGTTTTGGAAGGTTTGGGTTTTTTTCTTTATTTTGGTATTTTTACAGGTTTGTGCCTCTGTCTTGTACCTGACTTTTTGTCAAAGCCCAGTGTAAAGACAAAATCCCTTAGAATTCCTGGACAAAGTTAGGCTTTAGCAAAACAAGTCTGGAATAAATGCTGCTGAGATACCAGTTCAACACAAGGGGTTTGGTCAGTTATGATACTGCTTCTAAGACTGTCTGTGATTACAGAAACTAAGATGAAGATCTCCTTAGCATTTCCTTTCACTGTCTTAGCATAAAAAGTTGTTTGGATTGAAGTGGTCCCTAAATAGCAATGGTATCTCTGCTTATCTATATATGCAAATATATATACATAAAAATTCAAATGAAAACCATATCTGTTCTTGGTGTACTTGTCTCAACTACAGTGACATCAGTGGTCTTCAGTTGTGATGCTTTTGTATTTCTTGTCCTTCAAGCTAACATTTAGTTCTTCAAGAAAATATGTTTATAAGCTAGAACAGGTAGCTGATAGAATGGTAGCAACAGCAGTTCTCTACTGCTGATGCAGAAAGGAAGTAATGGCTTTACTGTGTAGAAAACCCTTGTATTAGGGCTAAGATGAAAATAAACTTAATTTTTCTTTTCTCATTTCTTAATGGGAGAAACCAACAGCTTTGAGGACAAATTAAACTTGTTTCTTTGGATTTGTTCTGTAGTCACTCTTCGAAGAGTTAGAAAAGGAATATGAACAGAACATAATACCGAAACATTTCATTTGGTTGTCAAAGTATCTAGAGTGGTTGTTGGTGGCATTTTTTTTTTTTTTTTTTTTTTTTTTTTTTTTTTTTTTTTTTTTGTTAGTAAAACCAGGGTATTCTGTATTGAAGGATCTTAATCCTAAATGCCAGTCAGTCTTTAGGAGTTTCAACACGCCTTTCATGTGTATTATCTCCTTGAAAGTCCTACTTATATTAACACTTAACTTGAGGTACATCCTTCAGTTGACCTGTTGGCAGTGTTCATGATCTGGCCCTTGAGCTCACAGCTTAGTCCAGATGTTTATGAATGAATTTATTTTCTTGACAGTAAAGCCAAGAAGAGCTGTTTTCCTGAAAACAGCTGGGTCTCATACTGTTTAGTATCTTCAGCAATTGGGATAGTAGTACAGAAGACACTGTCTGCAAGTTTTGCAGGTGACATCAAATTGGTGGGAAAGGTTGATATGCTGGAGGGCAGGGCTGGGTCAGATGGACCTCAACAATCTGTAGGAATTGGTCAAATGGAGTCCCCAAGATGCCATGCAGAGACGGATGTGAAGTCTTGCATCTGGAGGTAATGACTTAGTGCATCGGTACAGGCTGAGTGCTATGTAGTAACTCTGTCAAAAAGAGTGATAGGGTCCTTATGGACAGCAAGCTGAACATAGTCAGTACTACATCCTAAGAGCGGTGAAGGCTAGCCTCACGGTGGTGGTATTAGCAAGAACATAGCCCACAGATTGCGGGAATACTCCTGTACTCGGGACTGGCAGGACCACATTTGAAATCCTGTGCCCAGGTTAGAGCAGCCCAGTACATGCTGGCAAGCTGGAAGGAGTCCAGTGGAGGGGCACTAATGTGGTTAGGGGGATGGAGAACATGTCAAGAACATGAGGAACTAGATTTGTTTAGTATGGAAGAAGTTGAGGGATCTACCTGCTGTCTTCTACCACCTTAAGGGGATTAAAGAGCGAATGAACGCAGCTGCTTTTCAGGGGTACACAGTGAAAGGGCAGGAGTCAGTTGTCACAAGTTGAAGCTAAGGAAATTTCAGTTGTGTATGAAGAAAGCTGTTGGCTATGAGAATGGTTGTGTTGGAGCAGATTGTTTAGAGCGTTTATGGAATCTCCCATCCTTGTAGATATTTAGATCTTGGCAAGGTCCAAAGCAACATACAATCCAGCTTTGAAGTTAGCCCTGCTGTGAGCAGGAGGTTGAAACTAGGTGACCTTCATAGGTCCCTTCGGAACTAAGTTTTTGTTTGAGTCTGATAGTTCCTGAAGAACAATAAGTCCCCCATAAATAAATGTCCTGGATGAGGAAAACACTTACTATCTTGTGTTTCACTGATTTAGCCTTTGTGGGGAAGAGAGAAACAAAATAGCTTTCTAATGTGAATGGCACCCCTTTCTCAGGAAGGAGTTTTTCAGGGAATAAATGACAACTAAGTGGATGGTATATTTGGCATTAATTTGATGGTTATCTGGCAGGGTTAGATGGTGATAGATCTGCCTCCATAGTCAAGGCAATAAACCATTTTATTTTTTATTTCCCCATGAATGAGAAATAATAAAAATCAAGAGCAATTTGGATCGGTATGTAAGATTGCATTGGCCAAACGTCTTTGAGCCCTCTGTTGCAAGAGGCAGTTGAGAAGTAATATGCTTTGACCCCTTATCAGAAGCAAGGTTAAAGCTGTGAGTAGTACTCTGGGAACAAATAGAGTACAATATATTTTCTTTCCCCCACCTTCCCAGTATGTCTGTCTCTGTAGTGCTGTTTTTTCTGTCATGTTACCTAACATAAGCAACAAATCTAGCTCTCTAATAGCAGTCCAGATTGTATCAGTAGATTACCACTGCTCTCTTCACAATCCTTGGGAGCTATGGCCTGATCGCTTATCCTGTCTACTTTCTGTCTTTTTTTAATTGATCTGGATGAGCAGACAGTGCCAGAAAACCTGGTGGGAAATAGTAGTATTCCCTTTTGTTTTCTTTTGTTGCTGTTTTTAGTATTAATGTGTATAAAGAAAGCAGAGGTTAAGTTCTTCAGACAACTGTATCCAATGTGAATTTTTGTATCTCCTCTCTCAGTGCACCCTAGGTCCATATCTTTTTCTGTAATGACCTGTTCAATGGCTTCTGTCATTGATCTTCTTGTCATTCTCCTTGATCATCCCCTACTCAGTAATGTCTCCTTTTCTTCCCCAAAAATCTGTGTATTTCTGGTTACAGAAAGAGAACAAAACCTATTGAACTAAAGATGTCTCTGCTCAGATGTGTTCTTTCTGGTGGTACTCCCCTACTTGGCTTCAAAACTGAAAATCGGTGTGTCTCACTTCTGGTTATCCTTTTTCCTGAGAACAAGCACATACAGAGCATAAAATCCTTTCCTAAAGTTTGTTAGTTGTGTAAAAAGCCTACACAACCACTTCTTTGTATTTCAGACTGCCTTTATCTCTTCTCAAATGGACATCTTGAGAATTTTAGTGCTGATAGTTAATTAGCTTATTTGTGTCCTGGTTTGGTTTTATTATTTTGGGTTGGTTGGTTAGAGGGTTTTTGTTTGGTTGGCTTTGGGGGATTATGGGGAGAGGTGTTTGGGTTTTTGGTTTTTAAGATCAGGTTACTGACAAACCTTTTGCCCATGCAGGGTAGAAGAATGGGAAGATGTTGGAAGTCTAATTTACATTTGAATTATGAACTTGCACCTCTTTTAGGACTCAAACTGTAAAAAGTTATCCTTGGATCAGAGAAAAATTGTGGTCAGATGACCTGGTCAGGACGTACAGAACATTATTGCTTCTAATTACCCTCTGTTGTTTTCTGGTTTGGTTTTGGTTTTGTTGGAGATGTTTTTTAAGATCTTTCTCGTTGCTGTCTGTACTTCCCCCTTTGCCCCCCCTCCCCCAGTCTATCAGTACAACAGCGTATGCAGTTGTTTTCAGTCTCCTACCAAAGCCATCTGACAGGAACAGTCTTGCAAGCAGATTTCAGGGGGCAGTAGCTTGGGTGGGAGGAGGAATGGGAGAAGATGTTACAAGCCACAGAGGTCTGTAGCATCTTATGGTTGGCTGAGCTACAGCCAGAAGCTGTAGCTTCTCACTACAGGGTGTGTATCCACTTGGGAAGACTATTGGGCGCTGGGTATTGCACTTCCACTTCCCAGTCTATATGTAATTCATGTCCTTCCTATATGTATGAGCCATTAGGCATTAAAAGTGCCGTGTTGTTTTGCTTTGGACACATTATATGTGCACTTAATCTAGAAAGCAGATTTTCTAGGTCAACGAATTATTCTAAGAATAAGCATTAGGTTTAGTTATGATCTACTTAGTCCTGTACTGTGCAGAGACTGACAGTCTGTAGCAACCTCTTATCTCTTGTGGTATCTGTGCTGGTGTTCTTTCATGTTATAGCAGGTTTTCTTTTCAAATTGGAGGTAGAAAGATTTAGTAGCTATTATCTGCACTACAGCTCTGAAGTCTCTTTGGCTCTATGCCGAGTCTTATGCAAAGATCTAGACCTGTGCGGGGATTTGAGCTCCTAACTTCCCTCAGACTTCAATACCAGCTGTGAGCATGAATGTTCCTAATGAAATTAAATCTGTGTTCTCTTAAATCCAGAAGAACTGTCAAAGTGACAGTGTTGTAAATGTGCTCAGCTCGGCACAACTCTCACTTACGGTCGATCTTTGATGTATGCTTGTTTTGAAATAATCTGTGTGATATTTGCTACACGCAGCATATACAATGACATCTGTGAGCAGTAAAGGCTTGGTCTGTTGGTCATACAGATAATTCCTTCCGTAAGAGAGGTGTGTGTGATTAAAATATTTTGATCATCGATCTTCCACTGGTCAACTGAAGACAGAACAGTTCTATTAGAGGGGAAAAACCTATAAAGAGAATGTCTAATATTTAAAACAGATTATAGAGTGTGTTTGCTTTTTATTTTGTTTGGTTTTTTCCTGCCAATTCCTAAAGCCTGCTTTAATTTGTAGGCTTTTAGCCTTGAAGTCATCTTTGCTCTTGCCCTGACTGTACATTACTGCTTTCTCACTAATCCTTTCTTGTGTGTTACAGAAGGAAGTTTGACTCTTCACCTCAAAGGAATGTGTAGTTGGCATGTCTATAGGGTATCTGTGTTCTATTCCTTGAGCTGCTGTGCAATGCCTTTGCTGGAGTCAGTAGCTCCAAGTTAGTGTAAGGAGTTCTTGCCTCTTTTGGACATAACAGCTATTAGAGTAAATTATTTAAAAAAAAAACCAAAAAAATATTTTCCTCACAACTTTTTTTCTTAAAGGAGAGGGAGATTTATTCCCTTCTCCTCACCCTTCTGTGTTTCTACACTGAAATAGCTAGGTGTGTGAGCTAAAATAGTGGGATTTCTCTTCCTTCGTCCACTTAAGCTCTGCTTTTTAAAAGCTCCAGTGGAATACCTAGTTTGGAAGTAATGTTTCAGCCATTCAGTCATTTGCCATTGTCTAACAGATAGGATAGAATTATAAACTTCCTATTTGTTAATTGATATCCTTTTGAACCGCTGTCTTATGTTGCAGATGAACCCACTACTGCCAGGTGTAACTCTGCCTGAGCAGTAAATGAAACTACTGTATGTGTCTAATGCTGTGAGGGTTTGCAATCTGTACTTTTTTTTTCCAGTAGAACTGTAAGTTGGGAGGCAGTGTTTCAATATGCAGCTTACCATGAGCTGCATGTAGTGTACACTAAGAGAATTTCCTTTCCCAGGAAAATCCTTAGGATGAGAAGTATAGGGACAAAGTCTTTGGACTATTAAAATGTACGGTCTCAGACTTGAAGATGAAAATATATCTATTTGTTATGAAGCCCTTCTCAAGACTTCTCACATAGGTAACATTGGGAACCCAGTGTGAGGACCCGAGCACCACGCAAACAAATGAAAGGAAATCTGCCAGTTTCCACTGCAGTCTGTTTGTTTTAACGACTGTGTGCCTGTGAGGAAAGTAATGGAGTTACGAGTTCATGTTTTCCAACAAACTTCTGTCTGGGAGATGGGGGAGGAGGGGAAGAACGATTTGCACTCTTGTCAGAAGTCTTTGCCCCTCAAATATGATTTTGTCAAATGCCTAGTGTAGCTTTCTTGTGAACTACTTATAGTTCTCTTGTGAACTACTTATAGTTCTCTTGTGATGTGTAGTAGTGATTCCATGTTCACTCATGCAGTTCCTCCCTGTTACAAAAGTATAGGATTAAATGAGCAAGGATCTCTTTAAGGCATTGTTCACTTCTGACTGATTCTGTTCTTTTTAAATTGGGGAAAAAAGCTATGAAGACCATGCAAACTGCATGAGTACCTTGTCTAAAGACCAAACGTAAATATGCAAACTAGTCTTTTAAGCTGGTATATTATGAGTAATTGCGGTCTCTTGTATTGATGTGGTTACAGAGTAATGGAGATGGTTATTCAAAAAAGGGTTTAGACATAGCTGTAGGATACTTCATACAAATAAAGGTACTTTAAAGCACTTCATATACCACTGAGATATTTTAAGGCAATAAAGAAAATCACACCTCCATTTGAAAATGTTTACTTTATCTAGACTGCCTGTGGTAGACCAGATGAAGTCACTGCACAAAGCAGTTGTGAAGAGCATCCAATGGAAAACTTTTTAGCCCTGTCATGATGATAGTGAAGGAATAAATAACCTTACCATAGAAGTTCCTGTAGTATGAAAAAGGCTTTGAATTTTTCTCAGGATGGGGAGGAGAAATTACGCTGTTCGGAGTAGTTCAAAGGTCTCATTTAATTGAAATTAGGAATACAGTTATTTCTTCACTTCAGTATTGAAAATCATGTGGAAAAAATACTATAATTACTATTTTAAGCTTTGAAACTTTGTTGTCACAATTTAAAAAGGATATGTATTTTGCTAAAAAAACATGACTGATTAGAACCTAGGAAGCTAAAGTAAGACCCTGTTTGTAATAGGTACTTCAAGTGACTTCAAGTATGGACTGATGCCGGGTACTTCAAGTGACTTCAAGTACGGACTGCTGCCGGGTACTTCAAGTGACTTCAAGTATGGACTGTTGCCGGGTACTTCAAGTGACTTCAAGTATGGACTGTTGCCGGGTACTTCAAGTGACTTCAAGTATGGACTGCTGCCAGAGTCTTGGCCAAAAGAAGCTTGGGAAAATGGCAAGTATATCTGATGGAGAGGAGCTTGATTTTTTGCCTCTGATAGGGGTTCTTTATCTTCTGTGTCACTGCTGGTAATATTTGATTAATTTGTTGAGAGATTTATAAGATCAAGTGCCTACATCATTATCTTCACTTCATTTGCCTTTTTGGATCATGTAAATACGAGTACTTCCTTGGAGGGAGGAGAATTCAGATGTATGGAGAAGTAAAAACAGAACATGATTTGTATCAGCTTTTGTGCCTGAATATGAAGATACATAAGGTCTTTAATGATCTGGTAGCTTCCCCCCTCCCTTTCCCTTAGTAAGCTAACTATAGATAAATGGGCTTTAAATTGAACACTTTGAAGATACAAAGTTAAATATAATTTTAAAAGTAGATCTCTGAGCATACTTCCTGCTATTAAAAATAAAAATTTAATTGCTGTAAAGGTTTTGAATTCAGTGCAGCCATAACTAAAGCCCTCTTCAGCCAAACCTGATTACATCATCTACCCTTTCACCATTTGCGTGCCTTTATTAAGAGTTCAGGCAAGCAATTATCTGTAGTTATTTTTCTGTCTGGAAACATACCAAAAACACAACCAGGTCTAAAATAATTATTGCTAGATCCTTAAAATATATAGTCTTCACTGAAGAGAGGATCTTGAGGACTGGGCAATAGTAATGCCTACATCTCTATAACTTTGTGCTATTACTGGGATGTGGTTTATGGTTTACTCTAAATATTTTCGTTTTTACAGTGGCAGAAGTTGGGTCGTAAGGAGGTGAAACTCACTAGCAGGCGAGGGATTAGACCTTGGCTTTTAGGCAGTCTGCCTGGTCTTAAACTGTTAAATTTCCATATATCCTACAGCCCTCAGTCTGCCTGTCTGTCATACCCCTGTTGATGTGCGTAAGAGTGCAGTTAAAAATGTTGATGAACTTCTTTTTCTTCGTGGAAGCATGTGACATTATGTTGACATGCAGCTTGCATGAGTGCTCTGATACACCAAAACAAACTTTTTAATATTAGCAAAACTTAGCTTCCATGTTATGGTGGATTTTGAAGCTGGGAGGCAGCATCTTGGATATAGGTGTACAGGCACATAACACACAATTAGTTTTTCCTTCTTCCTGTCAGCATGAACATTAGAAACTCTTATGCATATAATCATATAGCCTTAGCCAGTGCTTTTTGGATGCTTCTAAAAATCCAAATGCACGTCTCCTTTCAGTAAGCTATGTTGTCCTTGGTCCAAGGATATGAAAACAGCTCTCTTCCATCACAGGGAAGAAGTAGGACATTGCTACTTCCAGAAATGTTTTCTGCTCTCTTTATTTTCATTACTGTTAAGCCAAAATAGACTTTAGGTAGAGAACAGCTAAGATGTGAATCAGTAACTTCCCTTTTTAGCTATTTCAGAATTACGCTACTTCTTACTCTCCTTCTTCTTTTGTCAGTATTCATTCTTGCTTAGTTATACTTTCTTTTTTCATTTACTTGTAGATCTTGGCAGGCAGCTCCTGCACATAATTCTAAAGAGAATGTTTGGGAGAGGAGATTGAAACTGTGTAAATGCCACAGAGCTAGAGGGTTTCTAATCCAGCATACAGTGTTTCCTGTATAAGTGACTTCCAGAAAATGGAATACTGCTACCTTGTAGCTAACTTATATAAGACTTCTTTCCAAAGAATTGATCTGTATTTGTGTAGTAAAAATTCCCTGGTTACAACTAGGTATTTTCCTAGCAAGATCATACATGCAGGACCCACCAGTATTTGTGGTTGCTGCAGGTGGACAGTGTTGTGATTTGGCTGATGAAAAGTCGTGTGGGTGCTTTGTTGTTTTGGCACGTGTTTATTTTTGTGCACCAGACAGAACATACTGACTTTTTTGTTTTAGTGTTTCTTCATCTTTTCTCCTGATGGCTTATTATCTTGTAGGCGATTCCTCTGCTTTAATCATGAACAAGTTGAAGTGTCCACACTGTAATTATGTAGCCAAATACAGAAGAACACTAAAGAGACACTTGCTCATTCACACAGGCGTGAGATCTTTCAGTTGTGACATCTGTGGGAAGCTGTTTACTCGAAGAGAGCACGTAAAGAGACATTCCTTGGTAGGTAACCTCAAGTGTGTGTGTATATGTATGCACATGGACAAATGGGTTTTACAAATGTTACAAATGTTTTGGAAGCTGGAAGAAACACTGTTCTCCAATATGGCATAATGTAAGTTGTTTTATCTTAATCTAAAATGGCTGAAGATAAAAATCTCTTTGTGTTAATTACACCTCTAGTATTCTATCTAAATGGGAAATGTAGTATCAATTAAGAGTCAGAATTCTGATAAAGACGTGATAAAGAGATGCAGAATATTTACTCTGTGGATAATGAAAGGGAATTTTGGCTTAGTGTTACTGCAGTAGAATAGCACATCTTGTTCTATAATGCTGCATCAGCATTTTCTGTGAGGACACTCTGTTAATCAGCAATTGCAGCTTAGCTTGGAGTAGTTCTGAAATACGTATTTCACAGCTGGACAAAGCTATAGTATAGTGTCTGCTTTAAGATGTAGGAAAGAATGATAAGTACCTGAGATGCAAAAAGTAAATATCCTCCTGACTTGCCTTCTGCCAAAATCAGCAGTTGAGCTTAACACTGTCCTGTGCATGTTGCATAACTTGGGATTTGACTTGAGTACTGTTTATTTGAGGATCCAGAGAAAGTATTATCTGCCTTGGGGGTTGTGCAGGTACTTGGTATCTTTGGATGCTTTGTATCTTTGTAGGAAACTAACACTTCATTATGATTTTTAAAGTATAAAATCCAAGGTGTGTTTCAGGGGAGTAATAAAAGCAAGATCATATTGGTGGAGAGAGGGTAGTAATATTTCTCCAAGCTGTAATTTTAAAAACCCTCATTTTGCAGATACTCCATGCATGGAATTGGGTAAATTGCACTTCTCCATTTTGGTAGCTTTCCTCAGTCCTTTGAGAATCAGTGGGTCACCTTGCTCCCTCATGAAGGTGTTCCATAAGCTTCCATAGTGTCCTCACAACTGGCTTTTTGTTCTTCAGCAAGTAGGAAGTAGTGGTGGTGAGCTTCCAAATTTTAATGCAGATGCAGAAAGACTTTTGGTGCAAGTCTTCCTCACTTTATTTATTAGCTTTTGCTATCATGAAATGGACTTTCTGTTAGCCAGTAATATTACTAAAAGTAAATAATAACCTGAGTCATATCAGGATATAATTCTAGAATATACTTGTAAGACCACTGTAATAATCTTAAGTATTCCTTAAACTGCTGTACAGGTAGGAAAGGCATGTATTAACAGCTCCTATGTAAATTTTAGAACCAGCATCTTTTTTACATTCAGTGGGGCTTCTCTCATCGTAGATACACATCTTTCCGCCCTGCTACTGCTGCCTTTCTTCACCAGGTGGTATGGGAGGAGGAAGGCTTAGGTGCCTGAAGGGAGAAGAATACCTATGTCTGAAGGACATTTCATTGTGTAGCGTGCATAGATGACTGCAGTGATGGAGGTGGCGATGGTATGGGGAGGGTAGGTCATCATCTCCTTATTGGTGGTGCAGCAGCTACTTTACTTCTTGCTTTGTGGCTCACCACAGATAATAGCAACAGTGGGTAGCAGTCAGTGTACTAGGAGGTGTAGAGTGGGACTTGAGGTTTCTGTCCTGCAGTTTCTGACCAGGTCTTGTAGCTTAAGACTTTTCTCTCCAGGAAAGGAGATGGAGTCAGGCAGAGTGAAAGCAGCTACAGAGTAAGCTTTCTACAGCCCTGTGCTTTCACTGAAGTGTACTCTCCCTGCTGGAGCTGGAACACCTTCTTCCTCACCCCCCTTCAAGAGACACCTTAAACATTCTGCTTTGTGTGAAACATTATCATAACAAGTCTGGAGGCTGAGGAAAACCCATATCTGTACAGAGTACACATCAGGACTAAAGTAACTATTTGTATCTTGACCCTGGGGTTTTCTTTCCCCCTCATCTGGGTGGTAATTTCTGTTTTATCTAAAATGGCAACTTTTTCAATGTGACCTCAAATAAAACATTTAAGCACATAGTTGTAGTCTGTTGCGGGGACACCTGATAGAAGAAAGAAGTCAATTTTTTTATTTTCCAAGATGATAACTGTTATCTATGTCTGGTGAATTCAGTCAGTTGCACAAGTAACACCCAAGTTCAAAATTAAAATTTGAGTTTAGTCAAGTTAGTCAACAGCAGCTTTCTAATTTTACATACAACCTCACACTAAATACAGGACATAAAATTAACCAGAGAAACCTGGAAAGGTGATGCTGGGTCTGGTTATTTTGGGAGGGAGGTGTCTTGGAAGAAGGATCTTGCTCTTTGAATTCACACAGAATTTATTAACTCCTGTTTGTTTTTAACGTTTCTAGGACTTAAAATTGTAAAAGCAATTTTCTAGGTGAGAGATGACCCTGTGCAACATAAGTGCTAGCACTGTTCTCACTGGCTTTGAGTCTTGTTCTATACAGTGAATAGTCGTTAAATGAGCACCCAGTTGCTTGTGAACCAGGCAGCTATAGCTCCTGGAGTCAAAATGGAACTCTAGTAGTACTTCTCTCTCCCTAAACAGTGTTGGGTATCTTTTGGAAGAGTTCAAAAAATGAATTTTTTTTTTATTAGCAATTACTTGTATTAATGGTTTTCTAGTCCTGTATACCAGTGCAACCTGATGTGCGTATTTTCAGATGTTAATTTCTCTTCCATAGGTGCATAAAAAGGATAAAAAGTATAAATGTATGGTGTGTAAGAAGATTTTCATGCTAGCAGCCAGTGTTGGAATAAGACATGGATCACGACGTTATGGCGTTTGTGTAGACTGTGCAGATAAATCTCAACCTGGAGGGCAGGAGGGAGCAGACCAGGTGCAGGACACAGATTTCCCTAGGGATGAAGAATACGAAGAAAATGAAGTGGGAGAAGGTGATGAGGAGCTTGGTGATGATGTAGAAGAACAGAATGACCAGTCTCGATGGGATGAATCTGCGGAAGTTTGTATGCCTTTAGATGACTGACAGAGCATATGACTTCAGGGTGCCACAGATGGACACTGTACGGATTGACTATTTGAATTTTTGGATTGAAGGCTTGCGAAATATGGTACAGGCTGGATGGTAGTTATGTTGCTGTGAAAAACGTAGGGTCAAAGCCTTATAGCAAAAAAGGATTATTAATTTTTTTATTATATTTGCACAGGACTGTACAGCATACAACCATTTGGTTGAATTATACAGAGTCCTCACATCTACAGTCAGTTATCAAAAGAAAAATGTATTTTTTATTATTTATAGGATATAGCTACTTGGGTCCTATTCAGACATAGTAGTAACTGTACTTATGTTACACATTCATGTATCTGTTAACATGAATGAAGAAAATTGCAACTTGGTATGGAAATACAAAGACAGCTTTCCCAAATCTACTCTTACTTTGTCAGTGAACCGGAGAATCTAATTTGGGCTAGTGGCTCTTGTTTCCACAAGCATGTCTTTGCCATACAAACCTTACCTCTCCCATATGCTGATAGATGAAAGCCAATCATTTAAATATGCAGCACAGATAATGCCAACACCGTATTGAAATAGGGTGTCGAAACTTGTGGCTCTATGTTGGCAGGTGGTATAGGTGATAAGCACTGGAAAAGCTAACAATGGCATTAATTTAGTGTCTGTTTCTTCAGTTTTGAGTTTTCAAGAAGGTTGTTACTGATTTGTCATTTCCAAAATGGTTTTGCAGAAGAAATGACCAATAATGGAAATAAACTGATCAGAGCATGGGTAACTCTTCTGCCACTTAGTCAAAAGAGATAGTCATGCTAAAAGGTATCTGATGTAATAATGTTTCCTTCCTGCTCTAAGGCCCCCTTTCTCTCAGACTTCTTGACTTCCCTGGTGTATACCTCAGTCCCATAGAATAAAAACACAAGAAATGGAGAAAGTGTCATATTAAACAACTTTTTGGTTGATAATTTCTTACTTGTCCGGTTTTTGGCTAGTTTGTGATGTGAATTGGACACTAGGCTGTTGTGCCCATCGTTCGTCATTAAAATGAACACAGACTTTTTTATTCTTTTGTACTTAATGGGGTTGTTGCTAGTGTTTAATGTAAACCAGTTACATTTAACTTGTTAACTTAATTTGCTGCAATTATTTTTTTGTTAAGAAAAACAAAAAGTCCAAAGCAAAATAATGCTCTTCGAGATTCTACTTTTCAGGATATCTCCCTACATTCTTTATTTCAAATTTTCTAGGAGGCTTTGAAACTTGAATTTCTGTAGCCATGTGGATATTGTTTTTTTCCCTAAGCTTCTACTACTGTACCAATGATTTTGGCCTCTTTTAAAGGGAGGGGAGGGCATTACACCTTCATCTTCAACTCCTCTGTGTTGTCTAGCCTAAGGCAAATGAAATCAGGCTGTCATTGGAACAATGCATCTGATGTGCTATTATGTCACAACAGTAAATACGCAGAGCATTTATCATGACACATAGCTAGGCCAGTGTGACAGTACTGTATAAAAACCAATTGAGGGTCACCATATTTTTCAGCTTTGTTTAATTTTAAAATGAGTATATTTTTTCCTATTTTATATCAAGTAACTAAATTATGGATGACTTTGAACTACGCTTTGACGGACAGAATCTTAATGGTGCTCCATCTGAACACAGTTAGTATGTATTTAAAGAGACAAGCTTTACTGTTGTCCTTTACATCATTAGAACAGTAGCATAATGTTAAGACATTGGTTTTGCTGGTTGAAGCTGAGATGAGTTTGAACTACAGTTACATGGGAATTAAAATGCTGATTTATTTTTTTTTTTTAATCATCCACTTGTTTCATTGGTATTTTCTGCATCATTGTAAACCTGACAGATGATTAGTCTTTTGGGGAGGGTGGGAGGGCGGGGAGGCCTTTTTTTACACTGAAGAATACATTTTATTCTCTTCATTCTAGACTGAAATGAGTTGTGTAATTCTGGTGGGGTCCAAAGTAGAAATTAGTTGGGCAAAGAAGATATGAATGAAAAAGTATTTTAAACGTTAAAGTAATGTTCTGCTTTGTGAATATGTAAGTATAGCATAAAGATTTTTTTCCATCCCATTTATCTCCTTTAAAACCATAGTTTACAATTGGTAGATCTGTCTATATATAAAAATATATATATATCTGAAATTCACCTAAATCTGCTTTATTAGAATACTGCTCACTTAATGCTTAGAAACTGGACCTGGCTCTACATTCTTAATGTATTTTCCTTTACTCTCCCCCCCAACCCTTTTTTCTTTTTTTTTTTTTTTTTTTTCCCTCCTTTTTTTCTTTTTTTTTTTTTTTTTTTTTTTTTT